AAATTCTCATTAAAAGTATGATGACTATTATAAAGTAACCAAATATTAAATTCCCAATCTTAGTTACCTTAGGAAAAATGTGAATAAGGTGTTAATCCATGAAATTACACTTTACACTTTGTTTAAGTCGTTGGTGGAGCGTGTGTGGTCAACCGGCACACTAACTTGGGCTTAACAAGGTAGGTAAAGGGTGACATAAGGGTACCAAGTGATTTGTATGGTTACTTCACACCTCGTTTTGTGATCCTCTGTATCCCAGTCACAAAACTTGGAGGGTACACTCGAGATTGAAACATGCCTTTGAAAAGTTCATAGAATCTCAAAAGAATCTAGAAATTTCTAAGAACCAATTAAAAACCTAATAATTATATTTTGTTTTTCATGGTGGAAATTGGTGAATCGTCATTCACCTACCTTTCAAATATGTTATAGCTTGGATTACGGCATACCTCTTCTATGCTATAATATATTGTGATTGGATTCTAGCCTTAATATTACATTTGGGTGTTTTATTAAGGACTCTCTTAATATCTAAACTAATCTTGTTCTCTTCTTTAAAATGTCTTCAAACAATGTTGCTTCTGGCTCTAATCCTAATGGCTCCTTTACCCTTATGAGCTTGAGTGGGAAAGTTACTTTTGATGGATCCAACTTCAATGAATGGATCAGAAACATCAGGATGATTACCCGCTACGAGGACAAAGAATATATCCTTGACAAGGAGCTTAAGGAGACTGATGAGACCACTGCAACTCCCCAGGAGATCGCTGACTTCCAGGCACATGAAAGGGATGCTACAAAAGTGGCATGCATCAAGTTGGCCACCATGATAGCAGAACTCCAAAAGTCCTATGAGGACTTCTACCCTTTTGAAATGCACCAACATCTGATGGAAAGATACCATCAAAGTGCATGACAAGAGAGATATGACATCATTTGCTTCATGATAACAACCATGATGAAGGACGAGGAATTCGTCACGAGCCACATGCAGAAAATGCAAAAGTATGTGGATCAATTGTTGAAGCTTAATGTGAACTTCCCTGAGGATCTTGCAATAGATATCAATTTTCACTCCTTACCATCGTGCTATGATCAATTCCGCATGACATATCACATGAATAAGGAAGATGACACACTCAGAAAACTTCAGGGACTCCTTAAGACCGCATAAAGATTTCTTAAAGGTAAGTCGGTTGTTAACACTCCTACTCTAAACACCCCCTGTCTTGGCAATCGGGAAAGGTAGAGGGAAAAAGAGAAAGAGATATTCAAAGGGTACCAAGGCTAGGACCCTTGATGGCTCTTCTTCAAGTGGAACCAAGAAAGGTTTCATCACTCCTTCTTCTAACCCAAAAGAGGCTGAATGCTTCTATTGTCATGAAAAGTCTCATTGGAAGCGGAACTGCCCAAAGTACCAGCAAGATGTGAAGGATGGGAAAGTTAAACCCAACCTTGCAGGTATTTGCACTATCTTATCTAATAACTCACCCCATTCTAAATTTTCGGTCCTTCATACCGGTTGTGGTATTCATATCTGTTCTGATTTGCAGGGTCTAAGAAGAAATGAGAATGTAGAGCATGGAAGAATAAACTTAATCATGGGGAATAGGAAAGCTTTACCTGTCACCAAGATTAGAGTTTATACTTTATCACTAAGTAGTGGGTTTAATTTCGATTTGAATAAATGTTGTTATTCGCCTGAAATGGCAAGAAATACTATTTCCTTTCATGCATTGTATAAACAAGGTTTTACCTTTTCATTTGATAATGAAGTTGGTTCTATTAATGCTTTCTTTAATAATGTTCTTTATTTTAAAGCATTACCTTGTGATGGTGTGTATGAAACTGTATTTATGGTTGATAACTTAGGAAATAATGTGTTGTGTATTGATTCTGTTAATGATAATAACTTGGATAAAGCGTCATTATGGCATTGTCATCTTGGACATATAAGTATGAAATGCATAGGCCAACTCCAAAAGGATGGAGTCTTGGGGTCATTTGACCTAAGGTCAGATGATAGTTGCGAATCATGCTTACTTGGAAAAATAACAAAGTCACCCTTCACAGGTTCTTATGAGAGGGGTGAAGTTTTGTTGGATCTCGTACACACGGATGTATGTGGACCCTTCAAACATGCCACAAGGAATGCTAATCGTTATTATTTGACTTTTACTGATGATTATAGTAGATATGGATATGTCTACTTAATCAAGCATAAGTCAGAGACTTTTGAAAGGTTTAAAGAGTTTAAACAGGAAGTCAAGAATCAATTGGGTAGGAACATTAAGATGCTTCAATCCGATCGAGGTGGTGAGTATCTTAGTTCAGAGTTCCTCGACTATCTTAGGGAATGTGGGATTATGTCACAATTTACACCTCCCAAGACACCGCAGTTGAATGGTGTGGCTGAGAGGCGTAATCGAACCTTGTTGTATATGGTTCGTTCCATGATGAGTCGAGCTTCGCTACCAATCTCATTTTGGGGGAATGCCTTAGAGACTGCCGCCCATATCCTTGATCTGGTCCCTACAAAGAAAGTTGCGAAAACTCCTCATGAGATGTGGACTTGTAAAGTACCCAAACTAGACCACATCAAGATTTGGGGTTGCGAGGCTTTTGTGAGACGTAAAACTCATGATAAGCTTGAACCTCGAAGTGAGAGGTGTATTTTCATCGGCTACCCACAACAATCCTTTAGTTACCTCTTCTACAGACCTAGTGAAAATGTGGTCTTTCTAGCAAGGAGGGTTGTCTTTAGAGAGAGAGAGAGAGAGAGTTCATAATGCAAGGAGACAGTAGGAGGCAAGTTGACCTTGAAGAAATTCAAGAGTCAAGTGGTGAAGGAACTTCAAACCCTAACACTCAACTTAAGGAGGAAACTCCCGTTGAGCCAATTGACAAGTCTATACCTCTGAGGCGATCCACAGGGGTTTGGAATGCACCTAAGCATTACTATGGATTGCATATTACTGTGGAAGGTGATACACTTATCAATGATGAGAAACTGATAGGTCTGGATAAACCTAACAGTTACGCGGAAGCCATGGCAGGCCCTGAGTAAGCCAAATGGAAAGAGTCAATGGACAACGAGATATAGTACATGTATGGCAATCAAGTTTGGAACTTGGTTGAGAATGTACCAGGTCGCAAGACTGTAGGGTGCAAATGGATCTTTAAGAAGAAGACCAACATGGATGGTAATGTATACACTTATAAGGCACGACTGGTTGCAAAGGGTTTCTCACAAACTCTGTTGGATCAATATTTTGGTTTATACTTTGCTTTTCTAGGAAATTGTATATTTATGTAATATCTTATGTGTTTACGGTCAAGTTTATGGCCAAGGGGGGGGGGGGGGGTTTACGGCCGTAAACCCTGTTTACGCCCATGTTTCCCGTGTGTGTATATATATATATATATATATATATATATATATATATATATATATATATATATATATAGGGGTGAGGGATGTGAGGAAAAAGATGGATGAACACCAAGGAGCTTAAGTGTGTGCACTTGAAGGTGTTCTAGAGAGAAGTTTTGTGTGCATGAATCTTTGTATCCGGATCTTCATTCTAATCATATCATACATAGATTCATCATCTTCTTCTTCTTCTTCTCCTTCTCTTCTATTTGATCTGACATCATCCATTTGATTGGGATTTCGCACCATCAAACGGATCTGATTGATACACAAGCATATTTGGGGACTTACAATAGGTATCAGAGCTTGGTTGTATCAATCAATTTTTTTCAGATCTGGAGCTTATTTGATCTTGTTTTGAAGAGGTTTTTGCGTTTTTCGATAGATATCGCAAAAATAAGGGGGGTTTCTTCTTCGTGTTTTTCCTAAAAACGAGTTTTTGATCGAGTTTTGGAGCAAAAAGGGTGAAAAAACGTTGTTTTGTTCAAGAACAACAATTCCTGGAGAGTTTACGGTCTTTGAAGGGCTTACGGTACGGAGTTTTCCGGCTGGAAATAGGTTGCCGGAGTTTACGGCCGGAAACAGGTCGCCAGAGTTGGTGGCCGGCAGTTTACGGCAGCGGTTTGCGGCCTCGGCTCGGTGGACAGCGCCAAAACGATGACAGATTAATTGCTTTGATACCAAAATTGACAACATGACGGATAAATGAAGATTAGGATAAAATTATACCTGAATGATGCGTTGGATTGTCTTGATAATGGATTGTGTTGGATAATTGAATATTTATGTGGATAGTTTGGATAGGGCTCTGCTATTCAAAAATAGACAAACTATTTCAACAGAGAAGAACTTTGAGATCAACTCAAGTCTTAAACACTCAAACTTAACTTGTTTATTTCATATGGGCGAAGGCCCTATTTGTAGGTTCGAAGGAGCCGGTTACATAATTGGTTTGCAATCGTTTGATTGCAAAACGACACACATATTTACATTATAGCCCCCTAGACTATTGAGGGTTACACACTTTATGTTACATCAACCGACACTTAATAATTATCCTACCAACACTTCTTATTTAATTACATAACAATCCTTCTATCGACACTTTACATAATGAAAAATATAATAATCCCTTCCACATTTAAAGGACAAATGTCTTCAAAAATGGATTGCTTACGTCATTCCTCTCGCCTCCAAAAAGACATATTTTTGAATAATGCTTTCTTTCATCGTTAATCTTCCATGAATGGTGTTTCTTCTGTGTTTTCTGAACAGTGACTGCAATTGTGTCTTGGTGCATGCATAATATGTTTACAAAGTTGTTTTTTGATATCAGCAGGTAATTCAGCTAATTGATGAGAAAACTTTCGAAAGGTTGTTCGAAGGTTTCAATTGCTTTCATTGCTTCTGAAGTGATTTCACTGTCTGTTAACGAATAGATAATGAAAGTTTTACTGGCGTAGTTCACTCTGATTCTTGACTTCTGATCTTTACCGTTGCCTATGCGTGATGATGCTAAATAGACCCCGGCGAGTGCAAAGATTAGGTGATCTTGTGTTGGTGATTCTCATGGTAGATCATCTTTTGTTGGTTTCGAGCCGTTGCTTATTCCCATGTTTGCGAAAGTAATACTTGGGACAATTAGCTGAGAGTCTTCATCAAAAATTGGATAGCTAGAATGCATTTTAATGAATAATCCTCTTTCCTGTATTGCGAATCGTATTTTATAATTTCTGATGATAATTTGCACAGCAGAAGGGAACTCGCTGATGCAGTGTAAATTGGTGCCTTCTAGATAGATGGTGTTGATGAATCCATGAATAAAATAATCCCATAAAGTCATAGGATCTGATAGATCGGCTAAGAAAACGGCTTTAGGACCTGGGCGTCTGGCTACTTGGTAAAAGCCCATCAAGGAATGGACTTCGGTGTATGAAATGAGACTGTCCCCATAATTCGGAAAATTTTTTGGCAAATGGTTTTTCATGGCTTCTTTTTCTTTGGTTGATAAAATGGATTCAAGGGCAATTTTTGCATTTAGCTGGTTAAGGGATCTTGGGATGGATACAGGTTTTTACGGTGTAAAGTTGGATATAGGTTTTTGTGGTGTTAGAGAACTGTTTTTGAACATTCAACGTTATCTTTTATTACTGTTTTGTATGCTTCGTTGTATGCGGTTTCTGTTTCATTTTTCATTCTGTAACTTTTGTGAATGATAATTTTTCCAAGAATATATGAACTGGCGATTCCCCAATCTTCATATACTCCTTTGTTTTCTCTGTTGAAAATTACGTACCATTTCTTTATTTTTTTATGATCTGCTTGTAGTGGTGGATACTCCTCTTGGTTTGGCGTCATGGTTTGTTTTTCTGTTTCTAGTGCTATTTGTGGTTGACTTTCATCGGATGATATTTCTTGAATTTCTTCTTTTGGTTGTTTTGTTGTTGAGCTGCTAGTTGCTTCTTCTTTAGATGCTCAATGGGATGATAGAATTTGTATTGTTTGTTGTAGTTGCTCTTTTTCACGTCTGACTACTTCAAGCTGTCTGATTAATACCAAAATGAAAATAACATGATGACAGATTAATTGCTCTGATACCAAAATGAAAATAACATGATGACAAATTAATTGCTCTGATACCAAAATTGACAACATGACGGATAAATGAAGATTAGGATAAAATTATACCTGAATGATGCGTTGGATTGTCTTGATAATGGATTGTGTTAGATAATTGAATATTTATGTGGATAGTTTGGATATGGCTTTGCTATTCAGAAATAGACAAACTATTTCAACAGAGAAGAACTTTGACATCAACTCAAGTCTTAAACACTCAAACTTAACTTGTTTATTTCATATGGGCGAAGGCCCTATTTATAGGCTCGAAGGAGCCGGTTACATAATTGGTTTGCAATCGTTTGATTGCAAAACGACACACATATTTACATTATAACCCCCTAGACTATTGAGGGTTACATACTTTATGTTACATCACAAATAATACAACCGACACTTAATAATTATTCTACCGAAACTTTTATTTAATTACATAATAATACAATTCCTTCCACGTTGAAAGGACAGGTGTCTTCAATAATGGTTTTTTAACATCATTCTTCCCGCCTCCGAAAAAGCAGGTATTTTTTGATTTTTGTGTTAGTCGTCCATGAATAATGTTCCTTCTTATCTGGGTTGCTTTAGGATGGCTTCCATTATCTGGTTAGTGTGTCTGCTATATGATTGTTGGCTCTTTTGATATACTTGAGGTATGGGTGAAATTGATGTAATTGTAATTGCCAACGGATTAAACGTCCACGACAATAATCTTCTTGTAATTTATATTGCCAAAATCCAAGTAGATATTTGGAATCTGTTCGTAGCTCGAATCTGGTTTGGAGTAGGTCGACTTTCCATTTTTTCAATGTTCTGAGACATGCTAGTGTTTCTCGTTCATGTGTGCTGTAATTTTGCTCCGTTTGGGAAAATGTTCCCGATATATACTTGCATAATTTTTGCTCATATTTATCTGTTTTTAATACTTCAGGGGATACATCAGTATCAGTGTATGCTTTTGGTGATATTTTCATATCACTGTATACTTTATCATTGTTTACTCCGGATGGTATTTTCATACCAATGTATGCTTCCTCATTGTGTACTTTTGATGGGTTAGACGTGAGGTTTCCCTCACTATCTAATCCTAATAATACTTTTCCATGTATGATTGCTTTTAGGCATCCTGCCCAAGTGTCTTGTGACGCATCTGTTTCCACAATTAGAAAATCATCGATCTTTGCATTATATAAGGTAGGAAGAACTTGAATTTTTTCTTTTATATTTTGTACTAAAATAGTATCTGTATTTGTCCAAGACCAAGGTATTTTTTCTGATATTTTCTTTTGTAAAGCTCTTCTTTCTTTTGCTAAGTTTTTTAAAAATCCTTGTTCTGCAATATAATTTAAACAACCAAGAAATCGTTGTATTTGTTTTCTATTTTCAAGTTTATTAGGAAACATATTTAATTTTTCTCGTATGTTGTCTGTTAAAGATAGTTGGCCATTTTCTCCAATTTTTAAACCAAGATATTCAACTGTAGTTTGAAAAAGTTTTGATTTCTTTTTTGATAAAACTAAACCTTTTTCTTTGATTCTTTGTAAAACTTTAATAACTGTGTCGATGTGTGTTTGTTCATTTCCTTTTGTAAAAACAATTATATCATCAATATATGCAAGACAAATATGATCTAAACCATTTAAGGTTTCATCCATGAATCGTTGATATATTGCTGGTGCCTGCTTTAAACTGAATGGAAGGACATTCCATTCATAGTGCTTCTGAGGAGGACATGAAAAAGCGGTTAGTGGTTTCGTATTTTCATGTAAGTGTAATTGCCAATATCCAGATTTTGCATCAAATGTACTAAAGTGTGTATTTCCTTTTATTTTTTCCAAAATGTATTCTTTTCGTGGTAATTTATATGAGTCTCCAATGGTAGCATCGTTCATTTTTTTGTAATTAATTACCATTCTTCGTTTTCCTCGTTTTATTTCATTATTATTTTCTACATAAAATGCAGGTGCAGAATGAGGACTTATGCTAGGTCGAATGATTCCCTTTTCTAGTAATTCAGTACATTCTTGTTTAAATTCATAAACATCTTTGATACTATATGGAATTTTGTTTGGAATATTAACTTCGTCACTAGGGTTTTTTAATAATATTATCATTTCTTGATTATTTCTATTTTTTAATTGATCTAACGGGTTTTCACTACATACTTCTTCGAGTTGTTTTTCAGCAATTTCTTTAGCGAATGTTAGTAATATGCGTAGTTGAAGCCAACTTCCTGTTTAATTATTTTAATAAAATCAAAATGTTTGATAATTGCAGTTTTTATAATACCTTTTGTTGGGTGGTTGAGACTTATATGATCATTTGTTTGTATAAATGGTTGATATAATTTAAGAAAATTATTTCCTATTACTAAATCTATTCCCGAATCGTGTTGATCTATAGTTGGAGTTTTAAATAGTGCTTTTTCAATTACTATATCTATGTCTCTTCCTACAAACCAAATTTTGTGAATTGATTTATCAGCAATTGTAATTTTTAATGGTTTTTCTAATTTTTCCCAATTTTTTAATATCTTTTTTCTTCCGAAACATAAAGTAGCTCCTGTATCTATATATGAGACTGATTCTTTTTCTTGTATTTTAGCTGTAATTAAGGCACTATTTGGATTAATATTTGTTTTTCTTCTACTCATTAGAGTTGGTTTATAAATTTCTATATGTGCAAAGTTTTCATATTAACAAGTTGTGTTTGTTAGAATGGTTGAAGCATTGCGTATTGTTTTTAAATTACGATTTTGTGATTTTTTGTATTTCTTAATTCCTTCTTGTAATCGAGATATATTTTTTAATTGATTACTATATTCTTCACTTTCCGAGTGTAATCTTATCAAACAGTTTTGTTCATATGATAAAGTTTTTTCTAAATGTTGAATGGTATTAGAGATATTAGAATTTATTTTCCAACGATTTTTTAATATATTAGTCCAAAGCATGTTATCTTTTGAAGAATTAATTTGTACTTTTGAATTCATTTTAACAGATTATTAAGGTGTCTGAAAGAAAATTAATTGAATTGTTAATGTTTTTTATTACTATTTTAGAATGATTAATTTGAGTTCTTAATATTCCTATTTTAATTAATTGATATGCAGTATAATTTTTGTTTTTAGAAATTAATTCTTGTACTTCAGATTCTTTTTCTTTTAAATGTTTCATGGAATTTTCTAAATCTTTCCATAATTTTTTAAGTAAATCGACTTTATATTTATTATCGAAATTACAATATATTTGAGTCTTATTGCTCATTTTTTATTTTTACCATGTAAAAGGTGGTTTAATAGTGAGTGGTTTTTGTTCAAGCGGTTTCTCATGTGGCTCTTCTTTAATGGTTTTTATTTTTAAATATTTTTCAAGTAATATTTTCTATTGAGTTAAACTTTTTAATAGCTTAGGAATTTGTTTTAGTATAAGCAAACTTTCTATTTCTATGATATTATTCAATTTTTGACTAATTATATTTAACTTATCTCCTATTGATTTATCTTCTTCAGAATCAAGATCAATATTATATATTGTTCCTTGTGGTAAATTCTGTGGTATTTCTATAATCATTTCTTTATCTGGTATGCACGGTTTTGTATTTTGATATGAGCCTTCAAGTGTTTTAAAATATTCTAAAGGACTACTAGATGATTCTGTCATATTCTTAAACTTAATGATTTAATCATTTGTTTTATGTCTTCTAATTTTTCATTTTGGTATCAGAGCATCATCATATACATTCTTATGAATATTCATTGTTACAAACATTCATCGTTATAAGTTATTATTATAAACTCATTATTAAAATCAAATACTATCCACCTACAAATGTCGGTAGAAGGTTTTTACAATTATGACTATGTACCAATTAGAAACACATTTTGTTAAAAAAACTCCACCATCAATATCTTATTAAAATATAATAGTATTAAAAAACCCCACCATTAATATCTTATTAAAATTTATAAATTGTAATTTTGAAAGAAAAATAAATTATCATTTTGTTTCTTAAAACTATAATTATGAGTTTTTCAAATTTAAATATTAACAAATAAAAAACTTTGAAGATAAAATAACAAGAATAATTTATTAAATATGTCTCAAGAAATAGAATATACACCAATCATTATTAATAACGAAGAAAATGAATCAGGATACAACTTTGATGCTCTAATTATAATTATGAATGTTAAATCTTTCATTCATATGAATACATGTTCATCATGCATCATCATATACATTCTTATGAATATTCATTGTTACAAACATTCATCGTTATAAGTTATTATTATAAACTCATTATTAAAATCAAATACTATCCACCTACAAATGTCGGTAGAAGGTTTTTACAATTATGACTATGTACCAA